AGTTGGGGAGCAATTTGCCTTTATTCAGAGACTCACGGAGACTTTCTAGGTGAAGCAAGTACTGCCAGGCAAACTCAAAAGAGTCAAGGATGCCCAAAGGTGGGTATCTCAGCTCCTTCTGAGACTAGTACTGACAACTGGGCATCTTTCTTCCCACCATTGAAATGTATCACGATAAAAGAACCTCAGCACAGGCACTACCAGGCAAAGAAGTGACATTTACCTGAAGGGGCCCTTCCAGAGTCTTTCACCTGATTGGACTTTTAGTAGCTGGCTGTCTTTTCTGACAGTTCGGTTTTGAATTTGTTACCTTCATTTCCTTTCATCCTCTCCTCTTTAACCATTTTAATATGTGGTTTTATTCTTTATTTTTTTTAACAGTACGGAGGGATATATTGAAAGGAAAGATGTATATACACAACAATCAATCCACTTAATGCTTCTTTAAAAAAAATCTAAGAATGTGCCAAGTTTGGTTTGAAAATTTTAAGTGACATGATCAAACTAACACACAAAATTGTAAAGCTGAATTTTAAACTGTAACCAAATCATCAAATTAGGTTTGGTAGCAGAGAAAACCAATCAGCAAATAACAGCTTACCCTTTTTATCCTTTTTTTTTTTTTTAAAAGATTTTATTTATTTGAGAGAGAGAGAGCACGAGCGGGGGGAGGGGCAGAGGGAGAGGGAGTAGCAGAGCGTCCGCTAAGCAGGGAGCCTGATGAAGGGCTGGATCCCAGGACCGCAGGATCAGGACCTGAGCCTAAGGCAGACGCTTAACCAACTGAGCCACCCAGGCGCCCCCCTTTTTATGCTTTTTATTCTATTACCTGTTTCTTTACATTCTGCTTTGAATTACAAGTTGTCGTTAGAAATTAATAAATAGAACTGATCTGAGTTTCTGTATGAAGAAGCTGAACTGACCACTACTCATAATCCAACATCCTTTATCAAAACCATGAGGATGAAGTAACTAGCACTGGAAATGGAAAAATAAACCCAAAGCAAAATTTAAGTTCTGACTCAGGGTAGCAAAGAGGGTATGATATTATCATAAAACTTGAGAATGCTTAAATGAAGAAATGCTTTACACCTATAATGAAAATTAGCGAATGGAAATTTATTGCACTTTCATTAAATCAACCCCAAAATGTCTTACCAATGATACGCTTTTCAAGAGATCAAACAACAAATGCATAAGGTTTTTAAAAAGGTGACCTATTTAAAAGTGATGGAGCTTGGTCTAAACCTAATGTAGTGATAAATCTGCTAAAGGCAATGTCTGAAATTTTTAACTTGTCCATCTTTCTGGGTGCTAAGGAAGCAAATTGTGGAAGTAGAATTTCTTGTAGAGAGCTACCTGGCAAAATTAGCACTGCTCCATTCTGCTCTATTTGCCCACAAAAGTTTAGCTTTATGGCCAATAACAAAATACAAGCCCAAATATCTCTTTAAGAAAGCCTGTGTGTTCTGTTTTCATCAGATAAATCCCTTGCGTAATGAGCTGACCTATTGTGCAGCTCCACAGAGAATGTTGATCCTATTGCTGAAATCTTATGAGAAACACTAAAGGAACACAGAAATTCAAACTCCTAAATTTAAAGAGAACATTTTCTAATTCTGAATATGGTAAAAAAAAAAAAAAAGACAGCTACATTAAACATTATTATTCACTTTTTAAAATGCAAAATGACCAAAATCATCATGGATAGACACATAGATATAGCTAGAAGGGTACTTAGTGCAGAGCTGCTTAAAATAGTAAAACTGGAAACTAACTGTCCCAAAATAGGGGACTGGTTCAGTTGGGATGCAGCCAGAGGATAGAAAACTATGAAAGCTGCTGTATAAGAGTATTTTAGTGATAAAAATGTCCATATTTGGATGAAAAAAGCAATTAGAAAACCGTGTGTAGGGAACAAACTCAGTTTTGTAGAGAATGACCTTCTAGCAGGTGCAACCTCAGGAAAGTTATTTAATTTCTCTAAATCAGTGTTTTCAACACACGTTAGCTCTTTGTGTTATAGGACCACACGGGTGAAAAAGAATTTGAGGATATAACATTAAGTGATTTTCTGGGTGATCACTGCTTTGTTTAATCTGTACTTCTAAACTTCTGTAAGTAATATACTACTTATTATACAGGGAAAATTTAAAATTGGAATATTCTCACACAGTGATTATCTTCTTAAAAATCTACCATAGTGCTTTGCTCACAGTCAATAAATCTTGGTTTAGCTGAATTTACCCTTCAGATTTCATTTAAACAAGTTTGCTCTGGGGTTCATTTGAAATTATTTTAACTTAACAGCCTAACTTGTCTCTAATATTTTTATTGGGCAAAGCAAGGCATATCTGCATTGTTCATCCCCCTAAGAACTTATGAGCCCCAACTCAGGACTCATTGTAAAGCCACTGGATCTTGCATTACCAGTGGGAGACCACCTATGGGAGCCTACTCACTTCTGGTTTCCTCCCAATTCCCCATCCTTTCCTCCTTTTTGGCTCCTTCCCCCCACCCCCCATCATCAAAGGCAAGGGGCACTCTCTACTGGACTGTAAGCTTCAAAGACATTTACAAAATCTCCTTCATGTTAGCATCACCAGTACCTAGCATAGTGGCTAGAACACAGTAGCTGCTCACTAAATGTTTAACAATGGAATGAAGTGAATAAATGTCTGATAGTTCAGGTTAGAGGAGTCAATTCCTCCATAAGAGACTAGGTCAAGGTGGGTAGGCTACTCTAGTCCAAAACTGTCTAGAATTCTCAGTAATTGTCAACAGCCCCCCAAAAACTCACTTCAAAGTATCACTTCTTTAAAAAAGTTCCCATTTGTATTTCACTGTGTATTTTAATAGATGTAAGATTATTTCTATTTTGCCCTATATTTTGTTTAAAGTCCCTCCCAAACCCAAGAGTTTAAGTCGCTTGCTCATATATGGCAAGTAAGTCAACCACTCAGAAAGCCTCAGGTCTTCTGGATTCCAAAGCCCAAGACCTTACCACATCATGTAGTGTCAAAAATTCCCAGTGACCTTTGACCCTAAAAGCTGTTGTAGATATGGTTAAGAACAAATTTTCCAATAATGCCTGAGCAAATACTTCCTATCCTTCCAAATATTTTCTCAGGCTTTTATAAGATCCCAGGAGAAGAGAAACTGAGGCCAGGAGGCAGCAACCCAATGGTTTCCAGTATTTCCCTCCAGGTTCCTAAGTCAACCCGCTTTACTTAAAAATAAAAACTAAAGAAACCAAATTAAATATTAACTCGTAAAACAACACTTCAACCGAAGACTACAGTGAGTTAAGACTAGCAACAAACCAAGGAAAGGACTATAAAAAGGAAATTCTGCACTGCCTATTTTGGGGAAAAAAAAAAAAAGAGTTTTCCACCCGTCCAGTCTTCCTCCAAATCCCAGGTTTTTCACTTTGGGGGATTGCTCTGAATCTGTTTAAACAGTGAAGGGCAGTTCCACTGAAATGGGGAGGGGGGCAATCAAAACCCTGTCAGGTATCCGCAGTGGAACGCTTAACTTCCTGAAGAGCCAAGGAACTTGCCAAAGGATTTCCCACGCGAAACCCCAGCCCACCAAATTTATAACAGGAAATTTTGTGGAAACTAATTGGTTCTTACCCATGCCAGCTGTGGAATACACCATGATTTATACATAAACAGTTACAATCGGTTGGGGTCTGCTTTGTGCCAGACATTATGCTAGGTCCTTCTCGCTCCAAAACCCTCATTACTATCATCTGTAGTTACAGTCCCATTTTACCGAGTCAGAGTGTTTAATGTGACTGAGAACCCACCGTTAATAGATGAGACTACGAGTGACACCAAGGATTTGCAAAGTTAAGTTTAAATTCAAAATCCACGCCCAACCTAGAGTCACTGAACAGTGGAATCTCTTCAAAATTTACCATACACGTCAAAACGTTTTGAGGTCCTATCAGAGCAGACGAGATCAAACAGAAGAATGGCAAAGACTGAAAATAGATATAAAAGATGACAGAACATCTGAGTTGTTTCAAGAGGTGGCTGCGGGTTATTGACGATTATCCGTGTCTCGGAGAGGTGGACGGGTCCATTCCCACCCGTTTGCCCGGAGAAGCCAACCCTCCCTCCCTTAAGCAGAGGGGCTGGGGAATGCCAAACGTTGAAAGGTTTCAGGGTGGGCTGCCCAGGGCTGGACTATTGCTGTTCACACATCGTCAGTAAGTGGCTCTCAGAGAAGAAAAAGACAGTCCCTCCTCCACCTCCTGAACTTCAGTCCTGCCCTCCGGAGTGGCTCTGGACAATGTATGGTTTAATCTGTGTCCTTTCAACGCCAGGACCGAGTTCCCCGAAATGGTTGCAAATGAATGAGACGAATGCTCAGAGCAAGAAGCCTTAGCCACACATCCACCCCCCACCAGGCAACACCAGCGAAGGATGCCCTGGGGCGGGGCGCGCGGGGGCCGAATTAGAGCCACGTCCGCGGTCGCCAGCCACCTTCCCCCTCCCCGCGCGGCGCCCGACGCGCGGCTTCTCAGCCCCATCTCCTCCCCGGCCCTTCCGGGCGCTCCTTACCCGCTCTCGGCCGGGGCTCCCGACGCTCCCAGCCAAAGGCACCAGCACCCGGGCGGGGACCGGCTTGGGGACGGAGCCCACTGCCGCAGCCACCCCCGGGCCGAAGCCGCTAGAAAGTTTGCTCGGGGTCTCGCCGTGTGCGCCGCGGCCCCGCCAGGGAAGCCGCTCTCCGGGTCCCTCCCGCGGCCGCCGCCCCGCGAGGCCGCTCCCGGCTGCGCTGCAGCACGGGCCGGGCTCGGCGGCCGAGGACGGCTCCGTGCGCGCCGAGGGCGGGGTCTCCCCGCCCGCTCGGCCCGCGGCGCGGCGCGGCGCTCGGTGTTTACCGCGGCCCGGCGGCCCGCTCTCCCCGCCCGCCGCCCTGCGCGCTCCTGACATCATTCATTCTCTCACACCCTCGCCCGCCCACTCCATTTCCAAACAGTGACTCACCCGCGGCCCGGTGGCGGCAGCGCCCGCTCCCGCTGCTGTGGCTGTCCAGGCGCAGAGCGGAGCTCGAAAAACCGGTGCGACTTCTTAAGGAGAAAACCCCAGCCGACCCTCCCCTCTCTCAGCCATTAAAGGTGCAGGGAAGGAGGGGCTTGGCAGGCAGGGCCGATTGGCTCTCGGCGGAAAGCCTGAGGGCCCGGAGCAAAGCTCCTTGAGCGGTGACCGAGATCAATCTGGGAAACTTCTTTGGGCGCCACTCATGGCAACTTTTAAGGATGGGGCCGGGAAGGGATCCCCCACCCCGTACCTTGCCTTATTCAGGAACTGCTTCTTGATGTCGGCGTGAGTGGGCTTGGGGACACCAGCGGTTATTCAAAGGGTGTCGCCCAGGCCTAGGTCGAAGAGGTGGGTTTCCAAACCTCACAAGGTTGCCTGCCTGGCAGGGGTAGTCATAGGTCCGCTCGGTGGCTAACTCTAGGTGTGCGCTGGAAGACTGCTCCAAGTTAATGAGGCTAATAATACTTTCCCTTCGGTGACTAACTACCATGTCATTCGTCCTGCTAATTGATTTGCTTCTCTTTAAGGACAAGCGACCGTAACCAAAATAAACAGTGAAAGACTAGTTCTTTGCTCAAGTGAACATTGCGCTCTTCCGCAGCTTTTGGAGCACAAGGCGCCGGGGCTGTGGTTTCTTTGATGAGCTCAGCAGTTATGTTTTTAGAAGGGTGTTGCCTTCCTAAAAAATGGTCAAGGATCTATGTTTCTTGGAGTTGCTATTCATACACCTGCTGGGCAGTTTTCAGAGTAAACAATGGCAGTCTCAGATTCTAACTTGGATGAATTAGAATGTGGCCAAAACTTTATTGAATTTAAATGATAAATGTTTTTTTATGTTCATTGCTACTTCTGGGCAGGGTAATGATGTTTAGAATTTGCACTGGCTTATGGGCGATTCCATATAATAAACAAAAATAATCCAGAGATATCTCTAGGTGCCTACTGCAGAAATCATGTAGGTAAACAATCATTTATCTATGGTAATTAAAAACTACTATAACAAAAAAATATGCAGGGCAGCCCCCAAACACACAACTGTAAGAGGCCATTTCCCCCAAATGAGAATGCTCCTGAAATTAATCAAAGGTTCAGCATCACTGTTGTGAAAAATGCACTCATTTAAAGCTACGGAAAGGTAAGGGGCACCTGAGTGGCATACTCGGTTGAGCTTCCAATTCTTGGTTTCAGCTCAGGTCATGGTCTGGGGGTTGTGGGATGGAGTACCCCTGCCCCCAGCTCTGTGCTCCTCAGGAAGTCGGCTTGAGATTCTCTCCCTCTCCCTCTGCCAATCCCCTGCTCTCTCTCTCTAATAAATAAATACATCTTAAAAAAAAAAAAAAAAGAGGCTACGGAAAGGTAAGAACCCAGAAGACAACACCACCAATTGAAGTTTATTTTCCTCGGGTTTATTTTTCCTTTTCAGTAGGAGTTCATATTCAATTTTACAAAGCCCAGGCATTTTGCCCAGAAGACAACAGCAAATAGATTGGTTTGCTGGGATGCAGTCAAAGTAAATGGAAATTCAAACCAACATTTTCTGTAAAGAATCACAGACCTAATCAGAAGCTTGAACGTCCTGTCCACTGGTAACCCAGAGGGTCTAGATTCAAATGCATAGCCATAGGCAAGTCTGGGTGAATATCCCACAGACTCCCTACTTTATAATGTTCAAATATTGGAACATTATGGAGATAAGTATTAATAAGGTTTTCTATGGGTCTCAAAAATGATATTGTGGGCTTTCAGGCCTATGCACAAGGATGAGGTCAAAAAGATCAGAATAAAGCCTGCCATCCTGCTGTCTTACTCCATGATGTAAATCCTGCAGCTCCATCAGGGAGGGTTACTGTCTGTATGGAAGGCAGTTGAATGGATAGTTCTGGATTTGTGGTTATTACTGTGGCTCGATTTAAATATTGTGAAATAAATAATTAGGTATTTTATTATACACTTAAATATCCTCCAGTAAATGTAATAGCAGATTTGTGATTGAGTTGCATGAAGTTTTTACATTTTATTCATTGTTAACATATGAGAAAGCAAATTATTCATCTTAATTTCTATGTTTTGAAAAATGGTGACTTGTCCTTCTCAGAGATGTGGGTTTTTTTTAACCTTTTGTTCTTACAGTGTATCAAAGTTTTCTAAGTACTTGATTTAGTCGGCTTCCAAAAATTATAGTGCTGAATGCTCTAAGGGAAGGAAAGGGCTGGCCAATGTGTTCTTGTCAATTTTTTCTAGACCAGTGCATACCGTAAATACCGTTTTATAGATTTCTTTGTTATGATAAAACATACTGATTAAGTTAGGGAAACATTTGTAGTTCTTATCTCCTCTTATAATAATTCCTACTCTGGATATAACCTAAATCATTGACTCAACCCACAATGTTAACTGAGTTCCTACTTTGTGCCCATGCTGTTTATCTAAGCATCACTACGTGCATCTTCTAAACATCGGTCTCAGCAATGGGAAAGTTTTCTTTAAAAATTTTCGCATAAGAATGTTTATTGCAGCATTATTTGAAATTTTTCCAGGATCCAGCATAGTGCCTGGCATGTAATATTCAATGAGTGAAATAAACAAATGAATAAATGAACAAGCCTTTAAGAACAAACCAGTAGTGAAGTGACTCCATGTTATGGGATACCCTGTAGACAATAAAACAACAAAACAGTCCCATAGTCTCTGACTTTAGAAAACTGTCCTTGTTGGGGTACCTGGGTGGCACAATTGGCTAAGCATCCCACTCTTGGTTTCAGCTCAGGTCTGATCTCAGGGTTGTGAGATCGAGCCTGGAGTCGGGCTTTGGGCTCCGCGCAGAGTCAGCTTAAGCTTCTCTCTCCCTCTCCCTCTGCCCCTCCCGCTCGTGCGCATGCTCTCTTGCTCTCTTGCTCTCTGAAATAAATCTTAAAAAAAAAAAAGAAAAGAAAACTGTCCTTGTTAGTGACAAATATGAGCAGTGAAGGAAGCAGAGGGAAAATACAACACACACACTCCCACCATTTTTGTGAAACAAACACCACTCCCATGAAAAAATCCAGAACGAAACTGTATTACCTCTTGACAGTGAGATATAGAAGGGCAGAGTGTGAAGGAGAAACTTGTATTTTTGGACTATTATTCAAAGAACCTGTATTATTTTTTGAAATTAAAAACAGCAACACAAGCAACATTAAAACTTAAGAAGACAGTAATGTAAGTCCATGACATAGAGGGTTTATGGTCTCATTGGAAAGACTATAACACCCAAAACTACTAGAGAATAAGGCTGTTCACCTTCTGGATTTGGAAATTAGATATGCACTTTGTGCCAGGCCCATCCAAGGGCTGAACACCTACCATTTATTGAGTACTTATTATATGCCAGGGACAATGCAGATGGCTTTAGCTGCATTAGCTCATTTAATCCTTTCAGCAAAGATCTGAGGCACTCAAAATGCCCTCCTCTTCATAGGAGGTAACCAGAGATAAGAGAGATTATCATTTTCCTGAGATTTTTGTTTGCTTCAGCACTTGGGTAGATGGTGGTGCCCTTTATCAAGACAAGGGATGCCAAGATAGGAACAGGTTTGTGAAGGCAGAGAATGAATTTTAAAAAAGGAGTTTGAGATGTGGTTTGTATACACAGAGAGGTCAAGTGGGCAGCTGACGATGTTAGTCTGGAACTCAGAAAAGAGGCAGGAACTGGAGATATAAATTTTAGAACAGTCAGCATGTGGATAATAAGGAAGCCACGGGAAAAAATGAGATGGCCTGGAAATAGCGTCCGGAGTAAGAAGAGAGGTGGTCAAAAAGAGGCCCAACATTAGAGGGCAGGTAAAGGAGAACACTGCAGATGGGCCTGAAAACAAATAACTAGGGAGAAAACAAGGAGATGTAGTGTTAAGGAAACTGAGAAGGCTATTTGAGAAAGATGGAACGGCCTTTTACAGTAAACGCTCCTGAGAGAGCACGTAAAATAAAGACTGAAAAAGTCCATAGTGTTGGTGACATGGAGGTTTCTGTTGGCCTTAAGCAGGGTGGGGAGTAGGGGGTGGGTTATGCCGAGCTGCAGTGGAATCTGATTGAGTGGGAGTGAGGGAGAGCTGAAGCCGGCAGGCGGCTGGCTGGAGTTGAAGCTGACCTGGCTTTCTGGAGACGAGAAGGAACAGCTCCTCTCCTACGGGAGGGAAAAGGGAAAAAAGAAGCATGGGAATCATGTTTGTAGACTGCTTCTAGGAAGTTGAAATCCTTGCCTTCCATGCTTCCATTTTTCTGTGAGTGCGGAGGTGTGTATTAGTTTTCAGTTGCTGCTGTAACAAATCACAGACTTACTAGCTTGAAACAACACAAAGGATTAGCTCACGATTGGGCAGGTCAGTAGTCCTCCAGACTCTGCTGGTTTCTCAGCTCCTGGTTTAACTGAGGACTGCAATCAACGCTTTGACAAGCTGGGCTCTTATCAGTAGGCTCTGGCAAGCTTCCAAACTCATTCAGGCTGTTAGCAGACTCTAGTTCCCCCTAGTTCAGGAGCAAGGTCTCTGTTGCCCTGCTCGCTGTCAGCTGGGAGCCACCCTTGGCAGCCAGAGGCATTTGTCCCAGAGCCAGCAACAGAGTGCTGACCCCTTCTCACGCTTGGAATCTTGCTGACCTCTCCTTCTGCCACAGCTCTTCACCTCAGCTGGAGAAAGTTCCCTGTTTTTAAAGGACTCATGTAACTAAATTAGGCCCACATGGATAATTCAAGATACTCTTTCTATAGTAAAGCCCATAATCTTAATTACACCTACAAAGTCCCTTTTGCCATGTGATGTAACATATTCACAGGTTCCAGGAATTAGGGTGTGGACATCTTTGGGGGCCCATTCTGCCCACCACAAGGTGACATTGTCAACTGAGAATAAGGAAGTGGGAGCGGTGGGTGGTTTTAGAAAGAATGAAAACAGTTTGAAGTAGCCACACTGGAGAGTAAGAACATTAACTGACTAGAAAAACATAAATTTGGCAGATGGTACTGAACACTGAAGTCAGGCCCATAGAGGTAAAGAGTGTCCTTCTCTAACAGCACTCAGACACCTGGGCATGGGCACAGAGAATGGGGCTGGTGGCTGGGCTAGACACGGAGGAAGGGAGTCTAGGATAGTGTCAATGAAGCAACGGGTTAGGGAATAAAAGATGGTCAGGGAGAGAAGCAAA